GACGGCGCGATGCACCCCCAGGAGAAGCGGAGGCGGCAGGCGGAGGTGGAGAGCAGGCGTCGGCAGCTGGAGGATGACCGCCGGCAGCTACAGCACCTGAAGGTCCTGAGTGGGTGGCTTGGGGGGGAGGGGCCCGGGCCCCCGCTGGGGGGAGGGGGGGCCCGGGCCCCCGCTGGGGGAGGGCGGGACCCCGGGACCGGGCCTCACCCCTAATGGGGCTGGGGGTGCGCGAAGGCGGAGCTGACCCGACCCCGAGGCTGACCGGGGCCCTGTCCCCCCAGTCGAAGGCGCTGCGGGAGCGCTGGCTGCTGGGGGAGGTGTCCCCGGCGTCGGACGGCGATGAGGACCTGCGGACGCAGATGCGGGACGACGAGCGCAAGGCGCGGCTCCTGGAGGAGTCCATCTCCAGGTGGGAGGGCGCGGCCGGGCGCAGAGGGCGCCCCTGCTCTGACGCGGTGTCTGCCGGGGCAGGGGTGCTGTGGGCAGCTCAGCTGGGCCTGGGGGGGGGCGGACCCCCGCCTTCTCGCCACACTGGCAGGTGTGAGGGTGGCGGGCGGATCCGGGGAGGAAGGGAGTTGACGGCAGCGGCCTCCCTGGGGCCTTCCTGGCGTCAGCCCAGCCGGCGAGTCTTCCCTGGCTCGGTGCTGGCGGCTCTGCCTGCAGGAAGGGGGGGGGGGGACAGGCCGAGCAGCACCCCCGGGACTGGGACAAAAGGCCGGGGGTTTCCAGGCAGGCAGAAGCTCAGCTCCAGGGCGGCAGGGTCACGGTGGAGGGAAGTGACGGCCACAAATCCAAATGTCCACTTGGCCAGAGGAGGCCCAAGGCCCCGGCCCCACGGCCCGGCCAGGAGGGTGCGAGGCGCCCACTGTGAAGACCAGGGATCCCGACCTGGCGTCCGAGCCTGTTTCCCGGCCCGTGAACTGTCACCAGGGCCAGAGCGGGGGGCTTGGCTGGACGCGGGACCCAGACAGGCGCGCACAGACGGGCCGGCTCAGGACTGACCGGGCAGAGGGGCAGGGCTGCCGGGGATTGTTGGCTGCTGGGGGCTGGGCAAGGTGGGCCCCCCCTCAGCAGGAGAGGGTGGACGGGTGCAGCTGTGGGCGGGAGTGCACGGGCGGTTCAGGAAGCCCTCCAGGCTGACCCTGACTGGCCAGCCAGCCTGTCCGCCTAGACCTAGACTGGCCTCATCGGGGCGCCGGCCAGGCTGTTCTGTTCTCACGGGGCTGTGTGCCCGTTACCTTCTGGTGGCTGGAAGGTGACATGGTTTTTCCAGTTCCCCAGAGAGATAAAGCCTCCTGTAAAAATAAATGCGTGTGAGCGGAAAACAGGAGAGCCGGTTAGATACCGGCAGATGAGTACGCGGAAGCAGTGAAGGGGCCAGGCCGGCCCTGCTGTCTGCCTCGGTTTCCCCAGTGCTGAAGGGAAGGGCGAGGACGGCTCACAGTGGGTGGGGGGACATCAAGTCAGGGGCCGCAGTGGTGCTGCCGCTCACCCCCCGCCGTGCCCTCCCCAGGCTGCAGAAGGAGATTGAGGTGCTGGAGAACGCGGGCCCCCTCACCACCGCCACTGGGGAGGGCACTGCAGCCCCGAGCCCGGCCAAGGACCAGAAGACAGAGGTGGCGTTGGATTCTCGGCAGGTGAGGAGGTGGTGTCCTGCCCAGGGCGTCCCCCGGACCAGCCCCAGGGGGAGACGCCGCCCCTCCACAGGTTTCAGAGCTGCTTCCCTGCCGCGTGGCCTGGGACCCCGCGCTTTGCCTCCCTGTGCCTCCGTTTCCCCCACCTGAAGCGCCCCCGCGTGCGGGGCGCCAGGAGGCCTGGCGAGCACTTTGCACAAGACCCGGTGTGGGGGGTGCTCTCGAAGAAACCCCCACTCGTCTCCCCTGCTCTTGTGGTCGGTCACCACCGTCACCTGTCCGTGGGCCCCTTCGGGTGGGAACAGCGCCCCCGTTGGATGGAGGACAAGCACTGGCACCCGGAGAGGCTGAGAGACTGGTTCAAGGCCACACAGCTAAGAGCTGGTCTTCACTGGACTTGGCCATGATCCTGGGGTCTGATGGAGCCGGACCCGGAGCTCACGGACGCCCTGTGTGAGCACCAATTCAGGATCTCCCAGCCACCTTTGCTGCTGTGGGTTCAGGGGCCCTGGGGACGTGTGTCCCCCTCTCGCGTCCTGGCTGCCGTGGCTCCTTACCGTGGGGCGTCTTGAAGGCCAGCATCCCTGCTGTGTGTCCGGCCCTCCTCCCGATGCTCCCTTGGCAGCCATGTCCTGCTCTCACTGCTTTCCGGGGCCTGGTTCGGGGCAGGCCGGGGGGCTGTGGACTGGGGCCCAGGGCACTGCAGAGTCCCTGAGGAGACACTAGACAGGCTTCCTGGAGGAGGAGGGATTTGAAAACCAAATAGGAGTTCTTGGGGCATGGGCTCGAGACCAGGGGGCTTGTGCTGAGGAGACGGAGCACGACCGTGTGCACCCGCTGACCTGAAGGAGACAGAGACGCTGGCTGGGTGATAACGCGGTGCCTCGAGGGCCGCTGACCTGGTTCTGCTGGGTGAGGGGCCGGCCAGGCAGAAACCCAGTGCAGTGGGCGCCACACACAACGGCCCGGGACCGGAATGCGTTCGAGGGACAGAAGGCTGGCCAGAGGTGGGGGTGGGGGAGGAGAGGCCGGAGGCGGGGACCCATGGAGGCGGGGCCCTGGGGGTCGGTGAGAAGGGTTTTGCCTTCATTTGGGGAGCAGCGGAGACCCACGGGAGGCTTCTAAGCTGGGCGGGGCACGGCCTGGCCGTCACAGGTAGGGCAGGGGTGGGGGGTCCCTTCAGGAGGAGACCGCACCTGTGACGGGGTCCGCCAAGCCCTTCGCAGGCAGCGCCGACCTCTCTCCTTCTTTCTTGCAGGCCCCGGTGGGCACCCCCAAAGGTAGGCTCCTGCGAGGGGCGGGGCCGGAGCGCGAGGGGCGGGGCCGGAGCGCCCTCTGGTGGCCAGAGGCGGCTGGTGGGCCGGGAGGGGGCCTGAAAAGTAACAGCGGGTGTTGATAAACCGAAAGCAGTAGCAACGACGTTCTTGTCGTTTCTGGTCTTTTCTCGCGGAGCCCGGCCTCTGCTCAAGTCCACCTGCTCCCAGGTGGGCGGGCCTGGGTTTTCACGTCTGTAAAATGGGATCTGTGGGGGCAAGAAATCAGGGTCTCAGCAAGTCCTGGGGTTGGGGCACTATTTAAAAGGACAGGGCTCCCCGCCCACAGATGTGGAAGTCTGCCTTTCAGGAAATAAAGGAAAAAAGCCAGAAGTTTGAAATCTGGGGTCCGGTTTATTGTCTCCCTCAAAAATTATTACAGATAAATAATATACATTTGTCAACATTCACAAATATGTATGATGTTTAAATATATATTTAATTATAAATATGATTGGCATATACATTAAAAAGCTATATTAAAATTATTTAGTATAAGTTATATCTTTAAATCGTGTACTAAACGCGTCTGTTTCCACATCTGGAGTGCGGAAGGACCGCCACCGGCCAGGACTGGAGGTGGCGGCCAGAGTGGCTTGGCCTGATTTGTTGTGTGTTAATTATTCAGGAGAGTGTCTTACTGTGGAATTAAAAATTAATAATTAAAAAAAAGTCCACCCAGGCCTCTCAGGGATTTGGTGAGAATCACCTGAGCCGAGAGATGGAAATGGACTGGGGGCTGGTGTGTGTTTGGGGGGGTCTGGCTGTCTGGGGGTGTCTGGGTATCTGAGCATCTGGGGAGGTGTCTGGGCATGTCTGGAGGGGCGTCCGGGGGTCCGTGTGACCGTCCCTCCTCTGACCGCCATCTGTCTCCACCCTTCATTTACCGAACAGAGAAGCGGGCCTCCAACACCCCGGTCAGGACGGCCGAAGGCTCCACCATGATGAAAGCAGGTGGGTCAGCCCCCCCCTCACCCGCACCCCGCCGCGTCCCTGGGGGAGAGGCGGGGCCGGTCAGACGCGGGAGCTGTGGTCACGGGGTGGCGGCCGCACCTGAGCCTGGGGTGGGCCCGGCCGCCCCCCCTGCTTTGGCACCTGGGTGCCCAGCTTCCCTGAGAAGATGGGGCCGCTCGCATGGCCGCGCTCTAACCCAGCGCTCCGCGCGTCCTCCCTAACCTTGCCGCTCGCGCCCTGCGGTGGGGGCAGCGCACAGGCCCGCTCGCGCTCACCGCACACCCTCCCTCCTCCTCCTCCTCCTCTGTCCTCAGGCCGCCTCGGGACAGGGAGCGAGTGCCCTGTTCCCGGAGGGGAGGTGACCGAGCTGGGTCTCAGGCCTTTCTGTGCTTCTAGGAGGCCGGTAGAGACAGGGTTCGCATCACAGAGTTGGGGTTCAGACCCTTGCCCCGCCCCAGGATGACTCCCCGAGTCTCCACCTGCTGGGGCAGCGGGGTCATGCTGACCGTAGGCCCAGGGTCAGGCACCGAGCCCGGGAGCAGCGACAGCCATTAGGGCTGGCAAGGCCTTGTTGCTGCTGCTGGATTTGGGGTGAGCTGTGGAGGCAGGAAACCACGGAGGGAGGCGAAGGCCGCCTTGGGTTGGGGCGACCAGGACACCTTGGACGGTGACAGGGGAGGCCCAGGGCCTCATGCAGGTTGGGCAGCTTTGCCCCAGGACGCAGGAGACAGAGGGTAGCATTTGCCAGGAGGGAGGAGGTGTCTTCGGGGCCTCTGTGCCAGTTAGACTAGCTCCGCCCTGTCCCTTAGCCAATGACCTTGTGTAGTGCACAGCCCACCCAACTGTGTGTCCGGCGATGAGGGTGTTAGGGTGCGCAAGGGCATGGAATTAAATAGCATTCGTTCATTCAGTTATTTGACAAGTGGGTATTGAGCACCTGCTGTGTGCAACGTGTGGGGGACACAGCCCGGGGGGTTGATGTTTCAGTAAGGGCAATGTGTGTGTGGTTAGCTTATGGAGAACAGAAGGCAGCATGTGGAGGCCGGGGGCAGTTTAACGAGAGGGCTCAGGGGAGGCCAAACTTAGCAGGTGACATTTGAGCAAGGACCCAAAAGAAGTGAAGGAGCAAAAGGCACAGGGAAACGCGTTTCAGGAGGCGGTCACAGCACGTGCGAAGTCCTGGGGCTGGATTTGTACCTGCTTCGCGGAGGGAATGACTGGGAGCCCTGTGTTGATCGGAGCAGAATGAGCTACGGGGGAAAGTGGGAGGAGGTGAGCTCAGGGAGGTGACAGGCCAAGACATGCTGGGTCCCATGGGTGTGGGAGGACTCAGGCCTTAACCCTGGGATGGCACAGGGGAGACCTGGAGGGCTGGGGGGTAGGGGCCGGAGCAGGGAGCTGCCCCACCCGGTGCTCCCCGGCGCCCTCTGGCGGCAGAGGGGAGAACAAGCCGTGGGCGGCCCCCGGAGGCCCGCAAGCAGCCAGAGAGGCCTGCGCGTCTCAGAGGGTGAGGGGGATTGCGGGCTGCCCTGGGCAGGGGACACAGAGGGGCGCGATGTGGGCGGGTACCCGCTGTCCCAAGGCAGAACCCACTGGATTTGCAAACGGACAGATGTGGGGGGTGAGAGAGGAGGGGAGGAGGGAATCGCCCTGGTCCAGGCAGGGAGACCTGGGCAGGGGGCCGCTTACGGGGCAGATTGGGAGGCAGTCTTGGACATGGTGATTTGGGGGCCCCTGAGGGGACGGTGAGATACTGGAACGCGGGGCAAGGCCCTGGAGGCCATGGCCAGCGCCCGGGGATCACTGGAGGTCCCAGGCTCGCCACGTGGCGCTCATGGTGGTGGTTTCCGGACGGGGGGACGGGGTATCGGCTGTTGAGTTATGGCTCTAATGGGCAGTGACACTCATTTATTTCAAGAGGGAATCTTCCATTCTTCATGGCGGAAGAGCTGACGGCCAGTTCGATAGTCGACCGAAGAAAGGCACGAAGCACAGATGCACAGACATGCTGGCCTGGGGGGAGGGGTCCGGGGGGTGGGGCGCGGAGATCCACCTGCCAGCCCAAGTTCAGATCTTGACTGTGACCACGGTCAAGGCATGGCCTCCCTCTGGCTCCGAGGAAGCAAGAACAGTTTAAGGCTCTCCACGTGGGGTGGGATTGCAGGCTGGGGCTTCGAATGCCGAGCCGAGGCGCCCAGGCTGACGCCCATGCGGCACGGGGCGCTGTGGGAGGACGTTGAGCTGGGCTGCTGCGCGGAGGGCGTCCCTGCTGCTTGGCTCTGCGCTGCCGGCTCCCCTCCCTGGCTTGGCTGCTGCCGGCGGGGGGCACGTGGGCAGGTGGCCTTGGGTAACCCCTGCCTCCCGTGCCAGCCATGTACTCGGTGGAGATCACGGTGGAGAAGGACAAGGTGACGGGGGAGACCCGGGTGCTGTCCAGCACCACCTTGCTCCCTCGGGAGCCGCTCCCTCGGGGCATCAAGGTCTACGAAGACGAGACCAAAGGTATGCGGCCCCCTGCCCCCCCCCAGGCCCCCGCCCCGCCTCCTTCCACGCGGGTACTGCTCAGGGACCTCACCCCCACAGCCCACAGTCAGCCTGGAGGCCAGTCAGTACTGGGCCTGCAGCCCCAGCTTTTGTTCACTCCAGGAGCCTGACCTGAAGCTTGGCTGAGGGCCGGGTCCTAGGCTGGGCTCTGGGAATCGAATCAGAGGGGCTGTGTCCTAGGAGAGCTCCTCACACACGGGCCTAGCCCTTCAGTGTGGAGCTCACGAATACGCTTAAATAATTCTTGTTGTGGTAAAGATGACAGGGCCTCCAGAGATGCAGAGGGGGTCTAGCAGGGCAGGGCCGGGGCCAGGGAGGGTCCTCAGAAGAAGCGAGCAGGGGCTCACTGGACACACAGCGGTGCACAAGGCGGCCACAGCATGTGCAAAGGCCCTGTGGCGGGACGGAAGCTGCCCAGCTGGAGGAACTGAAAGCCTGTGGGGCTGGTGCAGAGTGGAGGGAGGCGTCAGGTGAAGCCTTGGAGGGAGGGATGAGCGGGGTACATGGTGCTGAGATCTGCTTTGGTTTTGGGAGTTCCCTCTGGTGGCTGGGAGGGGAACAGGGCGTGAGCGACACCCTCAGGGAGGCTGACTGGGAGGAGCAGGGAGATCTTGGTCAAAAGCCCGAACACGTCTGTCTGTCTGTCTCTCTCTCTATAATTCACAAGCCATAACATTCACTCGTCTCTGTTTTTAGGTAAGAAAACCTTTCTTTTAAACTGTATTATCCATCAGTGTTTAGACCAATTTCATAAATATTTTGCCATTTAAACTTTTGCTGATTTTTGGCATGGCCTGTAGGATAGATAAATAACCCTAGGGAGGGGAAATTCTGGCCAATATTCACTATGATGGTAGAAAAAAGGAGACAAACCCACTTTAGTAAACAAAATATGTTTTAGGAAGACATTAAGAAGCTATATTCAACATTAAGGCAGACCATTCGCTTTCTTCATGCTGTGGGGTTCATGGAGCTGATCCCCTGGGTCAGGTATAAAATCATACTGCCCGGCCCGGAACCCATTAGCAAGTCCACGAGTGCTGTCTTCACCCAAACGTGGTATATGCAGTGGAAGGGTCCTGGACACACAAACAACTCAGCATATAGCTCAGTGGGCGTTGGTTTGTCCACCATGTTATACGCTCCAATTCCAGAACATTTTCGTTCCCCAAAATAGAAGCCCATGACCCTCTATCCCCACCAAGGCATCCAATAACCCCCTCCTGTCTGTGGATGAGCTTCTGGACATTTCACACACACGGACTCACACCCCATGTTGCCCTTTGTGTCTGGTTCCCTCCCTGAGCGTTGTGTGTTCAGGGTCTGTCCATGTTCATATTTTATGGCTGAATAATATTCCATTGTTTGGACGGGTCACGTTTTGTTTATCCAGTCATCAGTTGATGGCTGTCTGGGATATTTCTACCTTTTTGGTTTTAGAACACTATACAAGTGTTTATATGGGCATATGTTTTCATTTCTCAGGTGATGTCAAGGCATGGAAGTTCTGGGTTACATGGGGACTCTTGTGTTTAACCTTCAGAGGAACTGCTGGGGTGTTTTCTTTCTTTCTTTCTTTTTTTTTTTTAAATGTTGATTTACCTTTGAGAGAGAGTGCACACAAGCGGGGAAGGACAGAGAGAGAGAGGGAGACAGAATCCAAAACAGGCTCCAGGCTCTGAGCTGTCAGCCCAGAGCCCGATGCGGGCTTGAACTCACAAACTGAGAGGTCATGACCTAAAGCTGAAGTCGGACGCTTAACCGACTGAGCCCCCCAGGTGCCCCTGCCAGGGTGTTTTTGGCAACAACCGCCCCCCCATGTCGCCTTCCCACTAGCCATGCACAAAAGGTCCCAACTCCCCACATCTTTTGCAGCACTGATTATTGTCCCTCTTCAAGTTATTATTATTATTGGAGCCATCTTGCTGGTTGTGGGTGGATATCTCCCTGTGGCGTTGATTCTCAGAGCCTCATGTTCTTAGAGGCTGCTCGGTCTCCGTGGCGTCCAGGATGCTAGGAAAGGGGCCCGCTCACAACCCAGCTCTGCCGTGGTTGGGGGACACAGACCTGGGCGGGTGGAGCCCCCATTCCCGCTCTCACCAGTGGTGTGGCCCAGGCACATCCCAGCTGCCCTGTCTCCTGGACAGGAGTGACCTCACGGGCCCCGGGACAGAGGCGATGCCTGGGCTTGCAGAAGGTCCTCTCTGAGCCCGGCCTGGCCCAGCCCTGGGGGATCCCGGACCCGCCAGACTGGACTCTGGTTGCTTAGCAATGGGAAGGCGATCCGTTTCCACAGCAGCCGAGGGCTCAATTCCTATCTCGGGGTGGTGGCCAGTGGGAAATACTCAGCTTGATTCAGTGTAACCCGGGCACACCCCACCCTCCGGGCCTCCAGCCCAGAGTCACCGCAAGGCCTTGAGGTGTGGACACCCCTCCCCAGGGCTTTGGAAACTGAAAGTAGAAAGCACTTTCCTTCTGGCCAGAAGCCGGGAACTGGAGCCCTGACCCTTGGCCCAGGAGGAGGCAAGTCCCCAGGGTGCGCCCCCTTCCACCGCCAGGCAGCTGCGTCTCCAGGGGTTGGCTGGGCTGGCGCCACGGTGTGGCGGGGACCCCTCCCAGGTGCTGCAGCCCAGCCCTCGGGGACTCCAGCGCGCACCGGACCCCCGCTGGGAGCTGCAGACTGTGTGTGCAGGCGGAAGTGCCTGGGGAGGGCGGGTCTTCCTTTCGGACGCCGGGGGAGGGGCACACCAGGCTGGGGGTGTCCGGAGGGGCCGGGTGTCCTCAGCGAGTGACTGAGTCCGGGGTGGTCAGGAGACTGAGTGCCCAAACTAGAGTTTAACCCAGGGTCAAGCACAGGGACCCAGGGAGGGAAGTCACGGTCCCCAAACCAACTCATGGGAGGGAAGCACACTTAGACCAGGAGACAGAGCCGGTCCAGCGCCTGCCGACTGTGACCCAGGGCTGGTCACCTCCATTCTCTGCTGCGTGGGGCCCTGTCGCCCGGAAATGCTGCAAGATGCAAGGGACGCAGGCCCCAGCCACCGAATGCCAGGCTTTCCTGGCTTCCCACACGCACTTCCGTGCCTGTAAATTTTCATCTGTGCGGCCGTTTGGGGCGGGGGGTGGCGGCACGGACGTCAGTCGGTTCTAAAGCTGTGACTCAGTTTCCCGTCCGCCTCTGCGCCGCAGGGAGGCCCCTGCCCGGAGCGCCCGCTCACCCCGCGTGTCTGTCTCCCCTGCCAGTGGTCCACGCCGTGGATGGCACCGCGGAGAACGGGATCCAGCCGCTGAGCTCCTCCGAGGTGGACGAGCTGCTCCACAAGGCCGACGAGGTCACGCTGGGCGAGGCGGGGGCCCGGGGGGCGCCCAAGGCGGCGGCGCAGACCAGCCCCCCGCGGCGGGCGATCACGGGCGTGCGGGCGCAGCCGGGAGAGGCCACGTCGGGGCCGCCGGGCGCGCAGCCGGGCCGGGAGCCCCCGGTCACCATGATCTTCATGGGCTACCAGGGCGTGGAGGACGCGGCCGCGAGCCGGAAGGTGCTGGGGCTGCAGGGCGCCGTCACGGCCGAGCTGGTGGTCATCGAGGACGCGGCCGAGCCCAAGGGGCCGCCGCCGCCCAACGGCAGCGCGGCCGAGCCCCCCGCCGCCGCCGCCGCCGCCGCCGCCAGGGAGGAGAACCAGCTGGGCCCGGAGGCCCCCGCCAGCGACCCCCGGGACCTGGACGCAAAGAAGCAGCGCTGCAAATGCTGCTCCGTCATGTGAGGCGCCCGCCCCCCGCCCCCGCCCCGCCCTCCACGCCACAGCCACCCACCGGCCCGACCTCCGCCCACGGTCACGGGCCCCGGACACGCGGTTGTCACATGGTCCTTCCGAGGGCTCTTTCAACGCGGAGAGAGGGACGGGGGTCCCGCAGCCCGTCACCACCCCCGACGCCCCTGAGCCACCGAGCCGAGCGCCTACGCCTGGTAGGAGAGAGACACGGACAGACCCACGTTTCCCGGAGCGAAGGGCACCCCACGACACCCCACGACACGGCAGCTCCACCCACAGCGGTCCTGGCTGGGATGACCCGGGGCCTCGGGGCGGCCCCCCGGCCAGCCAGCCGCCCTCTGGGCCTCCTGCCTGTGCCTTCCTGCCACCTCCAGTGAGGTCCCCCAGGGGACGTCCTGCCGGAGAGGGTTCCTGGGGGGGCCGCTCTGTCCCGGCTTAACCCCTGGAAGGGGGTTTCCCGGCCGAAGCTCTGGCGTCCGAATCCAGGCCAGCTGGGGTGAGGCGGTGCCTCTTTGAGGAGGCTTGGTCGGAGGTCAGGTCCAAGGTCCTGGAGAGAAGCAAGGCCCTTCCGGATACCCGCCCCCGCCCCCCGCCCCCCACCTGGTGTGCCCCTCGCCCCATGCTCTCTTTGGGCGTGGACGCTGGATGCGGGAGCCGGAAGGGCGAGCCCCAGGGACACGCCCCCGTGGGGGAGGGGTCTGCGACCCCCGGGCAGTCTCCTGCAGGCCCGGCTCTCCCAGCCTCCCCTTGCACAAGGCAGGGCCACACGAGCAGCTTCTTGTCCTGAGCTCCCACTCCCACTGGGCCCTTCTTCCTCCTGGTGCTAATTTGGGGACCCTGGGGGGCTGCCCAGGACCTGCTTGGACCAGGGTGCTGGGCCCCTCCAACCATACCCGAGAGATCAGGCCACTGCCACTCCCCTGGGCTCGGCACATTTCCGGCAGTGGCGGGGAGCACGCAGCCTGGGGGGGGGGGCAGGGGCTTCCTCAGTAGGAGACCCCCATTTGCTGCCCCGCCCGCTGCGAGCCTGTCCCCTCCCCGCTGGGAGGGGCGAGGGGTGAGGGGTTCCCCTCCTGGGGGCAGCCGACACCTGGATGTGCACACACATCTCCCCGGTTGCAGCCACGCTCGCCCCCAGAGGCACATTCGTGCACATGCTCACAGACCCTCACGTGCGGGCTGTGGTCGGTGAGGCCCCATCTCGGCCCCTCCCCCAGGGGCCTCCCACCCGGCGCCCAGGGGGGTGCAGGGGCCGCCTCTGACCGCAGCCTGGGCCCCGACTCAGCTCGGCCCCTTGGTGGCAGGGGAGAGGCCCCCCTGAGGTGACCCTGGGCAGTGGCCGTGGGACCCCCTCTTCCTCCTTGAGTCCTCGAGCTGTGAGCCTCCGCTGAAGTGCCCCTCTGCTTTTGATGTGTGACCAGGCCCTGATGTTCTTGACTTTCCCAGAGAAGCAAATAAACAGTGTGAACAGCCCCAGGCCCCCGAGTGCGTGGCTTTCGCGGGGGCGGGAGGGTGTGGCCGGGCTTGGGGCGTGGCCGGGCTTGGGGCGTGGCCGGGGCATAAAAGGAGGCCAGAGGGAGCCGGCCGCGCACCCACCTCCGCGGCTGCTGCCCTGGGCTGCCGTGGGCGGGGCGTCGGCGAGTCCCCGCGCACCTGCACCCACCCGAGCAGCACCTGCGGAAGTCAGGCCTGGAGGTAAGGGGACAGCCGGCGTGGCAGGCCCGGCTGGCTGCGGGCCGTGGGGTCCTCCGGGTTCACAGCCCCAGGGATGCCCCGAGCTCTGCCGAGAGGCCAGTTCCTGGCAGGCGGGGGGCTCACAGAGGCTGCCACCCCTACTTCTGCCTCACTAGGTGGTCTTGGAAGTTGCTGCCGCCTCTGGGCCTTGGTTTGCCTCTCTGTGAGATGGGCTTTATGGCCCCTGTGTCGGAGGCCTCCTCAGCCTGGGAGGAGGACAGTCGGGTCCCTGTCTCCACAGTGTCCCAACATGCTGGGTGGCCCAGCCTCTGCCCTTTTGGGGCCTCAGTTTCCCTGTATGAACAGCCGAGTGCGTAAGCTGGGGGCAGGGAACACAGGTCCAGACCCCGCCACCGACCCTGCCCTTCGCAGGACCCGTGTGACGGAGGAAGAGCCTGGCGGTAGAGGGTCCCCACAGCCCGGCGAGAGGCAGTCAGGACAGACCCCCAGAGCCAGGGGTTAAAGCCCCACCCACTGTGTCCTCGCCCTGGAGACTGACCGCCAGGCCAAGAGCTCCGCTGCCACAGGGACGCTGGGGGCCGCAGCCCTGCTGCACCTTGACCAAGATTCAGGCGGGACGTCTGGGCGCCTGGCCGGCCCGCTGCCTGTGTGGGGCCCCCGGGCCCCCGGCCGTCAGGGGGGCCTGGGCCTTGCCACCCTGACGAGGTTTTCTGACACTCTGGGTCCTTTATGTAGAAGTGGCCTGGGGAGTCCTCCATGCTTGGCGATGTCCCCATTTCAGAGGCAGGAACAGGCTCAGAGAGGCTAAGTGGAATTTGAACCCTGACCCGGCTGAGCCCCCAGGAGCCCCCCAGGCTGGGCTTGCCCCAGAAAGGGGCTCTCTGGAGTAGTCGCCCCAAAGGATGGGCTGAGCCTGGGGCACGGGCTGGGGGGCTGGTTCAGGACCTGCTGCGTGACTCTGGGAGTGACACTCCCTCTCTGGGGGAGTGACAGCAGCTGGAAGGAGGTTTCCAGTGAGTTCCGGCTCTCTGAGCGCGAGGCCTGGGGGCCCCGGGACGGCGGGCAGTGGGCACGGCGCCTGCCCTCCGCCCTGCCTGGGTATCGTCTTTCTCCCGCCTCCTCCGGACTTTGTTGCCCGCGCCCGGTTGGGCCAGGGAGGAGGGGGTCCACCTGCTTCCCAGGCGGGGCCCTGTCCCCTGGCAACCTGTGGGCAGGCAGCAGGGCGCCCGTCTCTGTCGTGTCGCAGCACCAGAGCCAGGCTGAGGCTGCGCGGGGGGGGGGGCGCGGCGTCCAGGAGCCAGCACGTGAGTCTGGGGACCCGGCGTGGGGGCCACGGGTGGAGTGGGCTTTTGTTTCCGGGACGGGGCGTCATGTGCCCGTCAGCAGCCTGTGCTCACCTTTTGGATCCGCGGGGTGCAGGAAGGGAAGTCCTCAGTCCCCACCCCACCCCTGAGCCCAGCTGGGTCCAGGGTCTGGTGGGGACATGGCGGGAGGGGGTGTGTGGGTAGTGGCCCCGCGAGGGGGCTGGCTGGGAACCTCTGGGCCTGGGACGAAGTCCACGTGCCTCAGAGCATTGGGGGCTCTGCCCAGCCAGGGCCCTGGGAGGACCCTCCTTGCTGTGTGACCTTGCCCTGGCTGAGCCTTGACCTTCCAATGGGCCATTGCCCGAGGGTAGGCGGCCAGTGATGAGGAAGTAGTTGTGTGGCACCAGGGGCCATAAACCCAGTTTCAGTCTGGTATCGATATGATATGGGGTGGGGCTGGGAAGGAGCAATGTGGGGGGGCTTTCTGGGAGAGGAGGCTCAGGCTTCAGGACCTGTTGTTCTGTGGCTGGCTGTGTGATCTCGGGGGAGCAACTTGCCCTCTCTGGGCTTACGCTCCCTCTGCTGTTAACTGGGGACAAGACTGGCCCCCTCATCACGGGCTCTTACGAGGAGCAAATAAGATGCTGGCGTGGGGTGCCCTGTGTGCGAGGAGCCGGGGGAAGACGCAGGGGGCTCTGTGCGTGTCACCACCACTCATTTGTGCGGGGCCTCTGAGGTCCCAGAGAGGCTGATGGTCCCCCCGCCGGGCTTTCACCTCCTCAGGCCCCATGTGGGGGCATCACTGTCCCGACTTACAGACGCCTGCCCTGGGGTCACCCCAAGAGCAGTGGAGGGTCCAGCATGTAAATAGCAGCAGCCACCATGAGAGCATTTACCTGGTGCCTACTGTATACTGGCTACCCGGCCGACTTTCAGGGTGGAGCCGAGTACCGTGGACTCTGCCTGTGGACTCTGCCTACGGCCGGGTGTGGACACTGAGCCCAGAGACACGAGCTGGTGGGGCCCTGGGGCCTTGAGCCAAGCCCACTGGCCTCAGTGACTCACCCGAGAGGAATGTGCCAAGGAGGAGGCGGCGCCCCCACCCAGGCCCCACAGGACCCGGAGACTGTCTCCCTCTGGGCAGATCCCGCCACCACCTCCCCGGAGCTAATGTCTAAGTGGCTTATAAATCCTGCTGAGTGAACGTCCACCTCCCCACTCGGCAAACACTCCTATGTTACCCCTCGCACACCTGCCTTCCCTGGGGAGCTCCAGGGCGTGGGGACAGACCTGCCCAGCGCTCAGGGTCAGCGCTGGGCTCAGGGCGTGGAGGGGAGGCCTGGAAGGGGAGCCTGATCCCGACCCCCGAGTCCTGGGCCCCTGGAATGAGCAGTGTTTGCAGAGAACATGCTTTGCTCAGCCAGGCTTTATTAACTCCCTGCTGTATACCGGATTCCGGGCTGCAAGAGGGAATGCTCATCTGGGTCCAGTAGAAGAGAGGGTCCTGGGCTGAGGGCTTCATGGCAGAAGACAAGTCCCCTTTCAAAGAAGCATCCACCCTGTGACTGGGGGACAGCACCTCCCTGGGGCTGTGTGGCCTGGGCAGGGGCGGGGCCTGACTGCCATTTACTACCCAGGCTTGCTTGCTTTTACCTATTGTTTTCCTAATTATAGTCTCAGTACTTGATACAAAGCTCACTTGATAGTGTTAGTTAGAACACGGTTCCTGTGTGTTTTATGTTGCTTGATCCCACGTTTCCAGCTCAGGGAGTGGCTGCATTTTCCTCTTTAGAAATGCAGCTTTCACAAGCAAGGTGGCCCCAACGCAGGAAGTCTGTCTTTCCTTGGCCATAAAACAGTGGAGCCTAAATTGGGTGCTGGGCCAAGGAGTGGGAGATGCTGACAGCAGGCTCCAAGGGCAGGGGCAATCTGGGGGGCTCCCTGGAGGAGGTGTCCTGTGGGCTGCAGCTAGGAAGGCTGTAGAGAAGCAGAAATGTAGAGGGAGCTGCAGGAAGCGGGGGACTGGAGAAGGGAGCCCTGTGAAGTCTGGGGTTTTGTGTGGAGGCTGGCTGCGTTCTGGAGGCCAGGAGAGCGGGTCCCTTTGAGGAGGGGACTCCTGGAGCTGTGCTCAGCAGAACCCGTGCTTGGAAAGGGGCCTGGGCCCCTGGCACTGGATCATGCTGTGGCCAGAGGCTCCGGGGCCTGGCCTAGCCCAGCAGGACAAGGTCCACAGCGCTCCCTAGCCTGTCCGGGCCTCATGGCGGCAAGGCGGGGGACCGTCCGCGAGGGGACAGAGTGTCCCTCTAGGCAGGTTGTAGGGGAGGGAACCAGGATGCGGGACCCAGGAGGCTGGAGTCCTTGCCAGCCAGCCTCCCTCTCTGAGCCTCAGTTTTCCCACCTGACATCTCTTAGTGAGGGGCGGGCCCGCTGATGAAAGAAACCATGGAAGGAACCTCCGGCGCCTCAGGTGCGCGTGGGGGCCCGGGGGCTGCGGCTGTGCGGAGCTGGGCGGGAGGCGACAGCGGCACGGGTCCGGGAGACAAGACGGGTGGGCCGTGAGCACGTCAGACGCTCACGGGGCAAGCTGTTGAGTGGGTCGCTACGAGATACAGGTGCGGCTGGATCTAGGCGCTCAAACTGCATTTTTTAAGGATGCCTGTTGGCGTCGGCGCTGCTCTCATGCAGGCTGTGTCCGCGAGGGGACACGTGTGGCCCCCAGCAGTTTGCAGCGTAACAAGCACAGTGGGAAGGGGGACCGATTCTCCAGGGTAATCGGAAAGTCTCAGGGTCAGGATTTTGTGTCATTGGCAGGCGGGGTCACGTGCCCATCGCCGAGTCAATCACAGGGGCAGGAGGGCAGAGTGCTCCCATTGGCAGGCGGGGTCACGTGTCCATCGCTGAGTCGAGCACAGGGGCCCTTTGGCCAGGACTTTGGCCTTGGTGGGGGGGGGAGGAAATCACACCTCTCCCCACGAGCGAGGCTGTGTCCCACCCTCTGACCTGTTGGCCATTGTTCCCTTCTCCTCCAGTGAGCCCCGGAGCCGTAGGCAGCTGAGCCCCCCCGGCCATGGACCGAGTGACCAGATACCCCATCTTCGGCATCCCTCACTCACCCCGTGTGGCTGACCTGGGCCTTGAGGAGGGCACCGGCTACACGTGTGAGGTGGTGGACATGGGGCCTGCTGACCAAGAGGCCAGGCCAAGTACAGCCGGGCCGAAGGCATGCTGGAGCCCATGTGCCTTCCCCGTGGCAGGGGGCCGGCCATCCCCGTGGAGGCTCTGCCCGGAGGGTGACGAGGACGGGGGGGCGAAGGCCTACGGCCCGGACGCAGGGGACACCCAGCCCACGCGGCCGCGGAGCCGGGAGCAGGAGCTCCGGGCGGGCGTCCAGGGCCCGGCGCTCAGGAAGGGCGGCACAGGGGCCCCGCTCCAGGGCCGCCCTGCCCACCAGGACCCCAGGAGCCCCGGCCAAGCTCCGTCCGGGCCCCTGGAGGAGGACGTGGTGGACAGGGAGCAGATCGACTTCCTGGCGGCCCGGCAGCAGTTCTTGAGTCTGGAGCAGGCCAGTGTGGGGCCCCCTCCCAACCTTCCGGCTGGGGCTGCCCCCGCGGGCGGCCCGCCTGGCGTCAGTAAGGCCCCCAAGGCCCCCCAAGGCCCGCCCCTGGCCAACGGGTGTGCTGTCTCGGTGAGGCCCCAGGTGAGGCCCCAGGTGAGGGTCGTGGTCACGGGAGAGAAGGGGGGGGCTGGCGCCCAGGCTGTGGGCGACCGCGGCTCCCGGTCCCAAGCCGGGACCCCCGAGCCCCCCGAGGAGACACCCATCGAGCGGGAGATCCGGGTGGCCCAGGAGCGAGAGGCGGACCTGCGAGAGCAGAGGGGGCTGCGGCCGGCGGCCCGCCAGCAGGAGCTGGTGGAGATCCCCGCCAGGGGGCTGCTCGCCAAGGCCAGCCTGGCCTCGACCCCCAGGCGGGACAGGGGGCGCCCGTGGCTCTACGTGCAGCGGGACTTGGCGCAGGAGATGCAGCGTGAGGAGGCTCACCGGCGGCGGGGCCTGAAGGCGGGCGGCTCCTCCGCCCCCCCCAGGGCGGCCGTGGGCCCCCAGGCTGCACTCAGGAGAGCCCTTAGCTCGGACTGCATCCTCAGCCTGGCCCCGGCAGCCGGTGCGGCCCACCCTGCGGCAGAGGCGAGGCAGGAGGCCGGGCAGCCGCAGCTGCGCCCCGGGAGCCCCCGGCCGGCCCGCGCGGCCTCCCACGCCGACGGCAAGCCTGCGGGCCCCTCTGCGGATGAGGCTGTGGGCTCCCCAAAGGCCCCAGGGGCTCAGTGGCATCTCTCGGAACCCTCTGGAAAACCGTCAGGCACAGAGGCGCAGCGCTCCAAGCCCCGCGAGGGACCCCCGCGAGCCCCCGGAGGTGTCGTTCGAAGGGAGTATTTCCTCCAGCGGCCCCTGCGCTTCAAGATCCCAGAGGGGCCCCTGCAGGCCCCGGCCCCCCACGTGCCGGGCTGGGAGTCCGGGGAGATCCCGCAGTGGAGGCTGCAAAGGTCCCAGTCGTCCGAGCTGCTGGAGAAGGAGGTGGAGCGCGTCCTGCAGCGCGAGCGGGAGGTGGCGGAGGAGCGGAGGCTGGCGCTCTTTCCCGAGGTCTTCTCGCCGCCGCCGCCCGAGGAGGAGGAGGAGGAGGAGGAGGAGGAGGAGGAGGAGGAGGCGGCCGAGCACTCCAGGAGCTCCTCCGCGGCCTCCGGTGAGGAGGGGGCTCGGAGGGGGGAGGGGCGCCCGGGGAGGAGGGGACTGGGGGAGGGGCGCCTGGGGAGGGGGGCCTGGAGGGGGAGGGGCGCCCGGGGAGGAGGGACCTGGAGGGGGGAGGGGGCGTCTGGGGGTGTCAGGTGGAGCTCCGTCCGCCCGTCTCTGTACCTGGGCTGTGGAGTTGGGAGAGGGACGTCACCTTGGGGGCTGCCTTGTTAGCAGGTGCGAAGGTTCGAGGGCGTCGCGTCCTCTCGTGCGATGGCCGACAGGTCGCCGGCTCCACTCACTGTTGGCCCAGTCGGTCCTGACCGGGCTGCGCGGCCGTCTCTCCGTTTCCCCCGCTAACCGTGCTTTGTCCGTCCATCTGTCTGATCACCCGCTGCCTTCACTGACCCGGCTTCTTGGCCAAAGACTCCAGAGCCTCCCGGGCCAGAGTCCAGTCAGGGGACCCCGGGACCCTCCCTCATGCCCTTCCTCGCCCTTGCTCACAGGCATCACCGGCAGCTACTCCGTGTCCGAGTCCGAGTCCCACTTCACCCCCATCCACCTGCCGGGCGTGTTGGGGACGGAGGGGGCCCCGGCCAAGGCGGCTCCTGGGCAGAAGAAAAGGAAGGAGCAGCGGGTGAGTCCGGAGCGGGTGCTGCCCCCCCTCCCCCCAGGGCCACAGGAGGGCTGAGCGAGACTCAGGTAGGACCCAGGTTGAAGCCTGCCCCCTTCGCTGCCCTGTGGGTGGCGGTGCCTGTCTCCCCCGCAGGGAGTGCAGAGTGTATGTCCCTTCGTCTGTCAGAGGCCCCGAGTCAGTCGGAAGGACAGGGCTTTATCATTATCATCGTTATCATCTTATCGAAACTGTCATCACTGCACACTCGTGTGACGCGCTCAGGGCTCTGCACACGCCACGCCTGTACTACCTTACAGCCACGTGTGGCCACACGCTTTTCAGAGAAAGCTGAAGTCACACGAGCCCAGAGTCAGGCGGCGTGTGTGTGTGTGTGTGCGTGCGTGTGACTGGCGAGCCCAGCCCTGACTCCCCACCCACGGTGTGCCCTGAGGCCGTCTCCTCCCCGCATGGGGGCACCAGGGGGAATCACACCGAGTCCAGCCTCACCCACCTGAGGCTCGCAGCCTGCTCTGGTGGCTTGGGGCACAGCGTGGGAGTCCAGTGACCCGGCTTGAGTCCCAGTCCTGCCTCTTGCTGGCATGTGACGTTGGGCAAATGCTTGTCCCTCTCTGACCCTCAGTCTCCTCCTCTGTAAAATGTGGGTGAGCGTAAGAGCAGCCCCTTCCGAGCCTGGCTGCAAGAGCTCAGTAAACGTGGACCCTCTCTGTTATGACGAAGTTTGCAGAAAGCCTTGAGGCTTCACGGAGGCGGCAGCACGGGAGACGCGCACAGCAAATAGTTTTGAGTTTGGGGGGACCATAGTGGCCGGAGAACGCCTTCCCCTCCCCCCAGAGTGGGGCCCAGTGGGCCGTGGGTGCAGCCCAGGGCTCCGGGGCTGACGTCCGTCCCTTTCCCGCAGTACGCCAGCATCAGCGCCTCGGACCACATCAACTCGGAGGTGAGTGTGTCCCTGGGCGCGAGGGGCCCTCTACCGTGGCCTCAGAGCCATCAGATGCCTTTCTGTGAGGGTGGGGCCCGCGTGGGCTTTGCTGTGACCTGCTCAGGGGTCGTCCGTGGGACAGACGGTGGGAGAGGTCTGCAGCCGCCTCTTTACCAGATAGCAAGGGTCTGGGGCAGCTTGAGAGACAGGTTCCGCGGACCGCGTACAGGTGGCTGCCGTAGAGGGTTTGTGGGTTCGTGCTGGAACCGGGCCCAAAAGGCCAGACCCTGGCAGCTGACCTGCGTGGGTCTCAGCGTGAGCTACCGCGGGCCTCGGCACTATTACCAGGGGTAGGGAGTGTGAAATAGGGGAGGGGACGGGCCTGCTTCACTCTCCCGCGAGCTGGCGGGGGGGACGCCCAGGCCAGGACCCTGAGGGGGACTCTGTTTCCTCGTACAGGTTCTGGAGGCCACACGGGTGACCCGCCACACCAACGCCAGGGCAAGGCACTGGGAAGCCCGTATCTGTGCCAATGAGGGCAAGAGCTGAGCTGGGCACCGGCACCACGCGACCGCCCCCGGCCTGTCCCCCAGCCCCCATCCCTTAGGAAGTAGGTCCCATTTAAACCCACCACTGGAGAACCACGCCTCGCGTACCCACCGTTCCCAGGGCGGAGGCATCGTCAGACGCGAGTGTTCTCTTTCCTGTTTTTATTTTCCTGGAGAAATTGTTCTGCTTCCTGTGTCTGAAGTTGGGGATGAAATGGGACCTCTCTCGATTCTGCTTCTGAGACTTTGCCACACACCCTTGGGCCCCAAACAGAGGAGGTCAGCACCCCCCCCCAGCTCCAGATCTAATCGTTCCTGCTGGTTTGAGGGTGGGTGGGGCTGGTTAGGGGGGAGGCATGGGTCCTGGCCCCTGAGGAGCTACAGGTCTGGGGGGGAGCACCCAGTCGGAGGGTGTCTGTGTCCCCCCCCCCACCATGGCCCACCCAGCAAAGCTCTGGGTTACAGCCCCATGGGGACAGCCCCCGCCTGGTGAAGAGGCCTGACGGGGACCCTGTGGCCTGTCCCCTGTCCGCCCACCCCAGGCAGCCCAGCACCACCAGTGTCAGTGCCTGTCCAGTGGGTGAGGACGGCGGGTCCCCCGTGGGGTCGCCCAACGGCGTCAGCCACCCCTTGGTGTCCGGGGAGGTTGGAGGGGCCGCTGGCTGGGCGCCGCACACACCTGCCTCACACCCCGAGGCGAGCTCGTTCCGGGCCAGCTGTGGATGCTGGACCCAAACCCTAGTTCTGCGGCCGTCTCTGTGTGGCCGTGGGGGTCCCCAGAGCTCCCGTGCCTCGGCTTCCCCTCCACACACAGGCATGGGGGTGGGACCGGCCGCACTGCCAGGAGCTCGGGCACACGGGGCCAGGGACTCCGGCCTCGGCCTCCGGGCCCCTCCCGCTCCCCCTCCGCAGCCCTGCCCAGGCAGGGAGCTCAGGAAGTGGGCCTGGGGGAGACAGCCACCCCCGCCCGCGCAGGAGGCTTTGAAGCCCTGAAATAGCTGGGGTGGGGGCGGGGCTGGGGGGCTCTTCGGGGTAGAGCAGAGACAGGCAGAGGGAGGAGGCGAGGTCTGTGTCCACCCGGAGAGCCCGGGGCTGGCCAGAGCGCTCCATCCCATCCGGAGGCCGGGCGCCTGCGTCTGGGATTCCTACAGTCTGTCCTAGGTCCCTGTGGGGGCCCAGCCACCCTTCAGGGAGGCACCGCCATGAACGTCAGGGGCTCCCCTCCGTCCCGGGGTCAGGACCTCCCAGGCGGGGGCACTGCTCTAACAGCTCACCGCTCACACTGGCTCCGACAGCTCTGCGCGCTCAGAAGTCCTAACGTCCCGCGCGGGCAGGGCTGGTCCTCTCCCCCCACCCCTCCGCCGGCTGGGGTCCCAGGATCCCCCTCCCCTCTCACCCCATCTCCAGCTGGGGCCCCAGGAAGCGCTGTCTCCCCCCTTTTCCGGCTTCCGGAGGCGCCATGTCCTTGGCCTGCGGCCCCTCCTCCATCCTCACGGCCAGCAGCGCAGGGTCCGCCTGTCTCTCTGCCTGAGCACCCAGGGTCACCCCCGTGTCCCCTGCCTCTGCTGACCTTCCCTGGCCTGTTGCACAGGCCACACACAAGGCACCCAGCAGAGGTGCAGAGGGCTGGGCTCCCCTGTGGCCCCAGACCCCTCTGTGACTTCCCTGGCCCGGCCGTGCCTCTCTGCAGACAGGCTGTGTCCCTGAGGGGGACGTTCAGGAGTCCTCTGGGCTGGAGGAGCCCTGCCCATGGTGGGGCCGGCGCTCTGGTCTCAGTAGACTGTCCTTTGACCCCAAAAAACCCCCAGCACCGTGGGCCTGTGAAGAGCGACCGCAGGGAAGTGATGTCCCCCCCCCCCCCCCCCCCCCCCGCATACTTGCACTGTCCTCGGATCCTGCTCTGTTCCGTGGAAGCCTCAGAAACAGGAAGCAGCTCCCCGGCTTGAGCCTGTGTGGCCCCGCTGCTGGGGATAAGGGGCGGGCCGGCAGGTCGCATCTGTGGGCCCCCCCCCTCCGTCATCCGGACCGGGGTCTGAGGCTCGGGCGTTGGGGCCACGTGATACCCGCTCACGCGCCCCAGTGCCGGGAGATCCCACTGCAACCTCCCGGGCTCCTTTGTGCCAAGTCTGTCGGCACAGGGGCAGGGGCTGGGGGGTGCAGGGCACCGCGTCCCAAGTCCCTGGGGCCGCGACACTCCAGACGCGGTGTCTGCGCTAGATGCCTGAGAGACTGGCCCCGGGGTCGTGCCCGCGCAGGACAGACGCATCCCCCCCCCCCCCCCCGCCAGGGGCCATCAGGTGGAGCAGAGACTTGCATTTCCACGGATGCGTGGCGGCCATGTCCCCATCCCCCCCCCCCGCCCTCTTCCCGGGTGACCAGGGCCACCTGGGGATCCCCGAGTGTGGGCGGAGAAGCAGACCTTTGTGTGTTCAGCCTAACTGACAAAATGAACAGAAGCTCCTCAAGAAGCTAAGCATAGAACCAGCGACCTCACGTCTGGGACTGTCCCCAAGAGGGCCAGCACCTCCGTGGCCACGGAGACGCGAGTCACAACAGCCGACGGGAGAGCCCAGTGTCCCTCGCGGACGACGGGCAAACACGTGTCCATCCACACGCCCAAATCCTGATCCAGCCTCGGGAAGGAGGGACGTCCCGCCACCTGCCACTGTGTGGATGGACCCGGAGGTCACCGTGCGCAGTGACAGGAACCAGACACAGAAGGACACGTCCTGCATGACCCCACTCACAGGGGGTCCCCAGAGGAGTCCCGTCCACAGAGACAGAGAGTAGACGGGAGTGAGGGGGGCAGGGAGTCCGTGCTTCATGGGGACAGGGCCTCAGTCTGGGGAGATGGAAGGTTCTGGAGACGGACGGTGGGGCGGCTGCAGGACAGCGTGAATGTGCTTGATGCCGCTGAGCTGTGCACTTGGAACTGGTTAAAGTGGTACATTCTGTGTTATGTGCATTTTGCCGAGATCTTTAAACAGCGAGCAGAAAAGCATTCAGTGTGTTGAGAGCTCCGCCTTGGGAGCCCCCAGACCCGACTGCCGGCTCGGAAGAACTAGAAACGCCCTGCGCGGGGCAGCGTCCCGTCCTCCCAGACTGGATGGCGCGGCTGCGGCCCGACGTCTTGTGTCTGTGACTCAACGGGGTCTCCTCTTTATCCACGGCCGGCCCCTGGGGAGGCGGGAGGGAATGCTGTCCCCTGCCAGGTCTCCCGAGTCTCAGCGGGACCCCCAAAGCAGGGAGGGTCTGTCCCAGAGGCGAGTGACCTCAGAGCAGGCGTCAGGCCGATCCAGGAAGGGGACAGGGTTGTCTCGCAGGCCCTCAGAAAGGCTGGGAAGCAAACCAGGGTCCCAACTGAAAAGCCCTCCTCCCTCCTTCTGAGCTGGAGCCGCTCTTCTGTGATGAGCTCCGAGCCAGGCCGCCTCCCTCCCCCACGGCCTCGCCCCCCTGCGCTCCCACAGGTTTGCTGAGCTACAACCATCCCCGCACACGGTGGGAGGGAGCGGGCTTGCGATTTGCAGCCTGGGGGGGGGCAGGGGGGCCCCTCACTCACACAGGGGGAGCCAGGTCTGCTGTTGGCGGGGGGCTGCTGGGGCAAGCTGAAATTCAGGACATTCGGCTAAATCTGAATTGAGGCCAACAGTGAGTGGCATAATTTGGGACATACTTGGGCCGTTAAAAACCGCTCACCGTTTACCTTAAGTTCAAACTTCCTGGATGCCCCGTATTTTTATTTGCTAAATCTGACCACCTCCTGGTCCCCCTGAGAAGCCTCGGGAGAGGGCGTCAGATGGTGTCGTCCCTGCCCCAAGTCAGCACAGGGGACTGCGGAGGCCGCGCCCCGTGGCACGCGGGACCGCTGCGGTCCTGCCCTCGGAGACGGAGGCGCCTGCAGTTTGTGTGAGCAGGCGGAAAGGGGGGCGCCCTGCATGCCCGATACCAGGAGAAGCTGTTCTCTCCTGAACGGAGGGCGCCCGGTGGCCTTCTAGAGACAGGTGACCCTACTCGATGACACGGGCACATGTTCTAAAGCTCTGATCATTCAGTGACAAAAAAATGTGTGGGGCAAAAGTCCCAGAGACGTGGCCCTGCTGTGTTACCTCACAGGCGGGCCGGAGCCACGCACACGAGTTAGCACAGCGAGCTGGGGGGCAGGAGGGGGTCATCTGGAAAGTTCACTGCAGACCCTCAGGATGCGTTAGTGTGAAACTTAAAAAACCAGACACTGGTTATCAGAGAAAAGCGCCTCTTGGCAAGTGACTGAGTTACTTAGTAACACCGCGCAGCCTCTCGGGGCCTCTGGAGGTCGGACGGCCAGCACGGGGTGTCTGGGCCTCGGCTCAGGGCCTCGCGAGGCGGCCTGTGCAGACCAAGGCTCCGCTGGGGAAGGACCCACTTCCTAGCTCCTTTGGCTGTTGCTAGAATGATCTCCTGACTCTCGCAGGGCCGAGGTCCCAGTTTGCTGGCCGGTCACCCCAAGAGCTTGTCACACGGGTGCCTCACAAGCAGTTCACAACCTGGCTGGTTGCTTCACTCTGGGCCTTTTAAAGCTTCTCCTGATTAAGTCAGGCCCATCCAGCAGGATCTCCCTTTTCATTAACTCAAAAGTCAATTGATTTGGGGACCTTAATTATATCTGAATAAGCCCCCCTTTACCAAATGCCACCCGCACTCATGGAGTTACACAGGGTGTGGTGCTGGGGGCAGGAATCTCGGGCCCCCTCAGGATTCTGGCCATCCTGAGAAAACCTGAGGTGGGGTTTAGGGTGTGGGGTCTGGTGGCAGAAACTGGGTGCACACCTCAGCCCCAGGTCCTACTTACCGGGTTACCATAAGTTACCCAGCCATTGTAGCAGTCCAAACTTCAGTTTCCTGTCAGAAAAGGGGGGGTACCCATCGCTCACAGACGAAATGCAGTGAGCAGGAACTCCTCACCCTGGGGTCCCACACTGGTGGCTGGTGGGCTGGACTGAGAACACAGGCTTCTCTTTCTTGGCCGTCAGTGTTTTACATCTTTCAAAGAGTCTTCCCGGGCGCCCGGGGTGCTCAGTTAAGTGTCTGACTTCGATTCAGAGCCTGATCTCACAGTTCGTGGGTTTGAGCCCCGTGTTGG